GGGCCCTTCCCTACAAACCATACCGTTTATATCTGCAGCTTCAGGAGGTTGTTGTCTGCTCTCCAGGTGAGTGGCCGGCAGTGGAGGCTCCTCCGAGGAAAGTGCCCGGGGTGTGCCTAGGAGCATCCGCTCCACAGTCGCTCCCACGGTCGAGTAGAGATCCTCCTGGCTGGCTCGCCAAAACTGACGTGTGGAAAGCAGACTCCACAATCTGTAAGATTGTAAAGTAGGTATGTTCATTCAGCGCCAGGCAGCATGGGGGGTAGTCCCACCGAAGTCGTGCGCACTGAGAAGCAACGTGTCTCTTCAATTTATACAATCAAATATTACATATACATTAGATTTCCCAATACATCTATACATATGCATCTATCCTCATTGCATATCAAAATCAGTTCCGAGACATAATTTCCATATTATAATTAGTTCCAAGAAATAATTTCCATAGTCTTCTCCCGGCTGCGCTTGCGCAGTGCCTCGTAGTGGTGGTCGTTGGGGGTCCCAAGATGAAGGCCCATCCTCTTCATCACGGTGTCTGCTGATTGACCTTTGTTTCTGCGCAAACTCAGTTCTCCCCTGGCTCCCATCCATGCAGAAGGGTCGGTCTCGACCGGTTCTAGGTGACTGCCAGGCCCTATCAGGAACCAGCCCCTTTGTATGGAGATGCAAGATTCTCTGCTTCAGTTAATTTAGACAATAGATAGGCACTATCAATTCTCTTTAAATGGACTGCAACTATTAGATAATGCTACTTCTACTAAAATCCCTTTTAACCCCTTCCTTCACAGGGACTGGGACAATGAAGAACTGCCCACTGTAGAAGAAGATCAGGTTCAAGGCTAGCTAAGGAATCTTGAAGGTGCACAAGTTCATGGGATCTGATGAGATGCATCCGTGGGTCCTGAGGACACTGGCAGATCAGGTTGCTAAACCGCTACCCATCATATTCAAGAAACTGTGACAGTCTGGTCAAGTTCCCAGTAATTGGAAAATGGGAAACATAACCCCCATTGTTAAAAAGGGTAAAAAGGAAGACCCGGGGAAATACAGGCCAGTCAGTCTCACCTCTGTGCCTGGCAAGATTCTCCTGGAAACTATGCTAACGCACATGGAAAATATGGAGGTGATTGGTGACAGCAAACCTGGTTTCACTAAGGGCAAATCATGCCTGACAAATCTGATGGTGGTCTACGACAGGCTTACTGTGTTGGTGGATAAGGGAAGGGCAAATGATGTCATCTACCTGGACTTGAGCAAAACATTTGACACTGTCCTGCATGACATCCTTGTCTCTCAATTGGAGAGCCATGGATTTCATGGATGGACCACATGGTGGATAAGGATTTGGCTGGATGATGGTATTCAAAGAGCTGTGGTCAATGGCTCGATGTCCAAGTGGAGACCAGTGACTAGTGGCGTTCCTCAGGAGTCAGTATTGGGACTGGCGGTGTTTAACATCTTTGTCAGTGACATGGACAGTAGGATTGAGTGCACCCTCAGCAAGTTTGCCAATGACACCAAGCTGTGTGTGTGGTCAAAACACTGGAGGGAAGGGATGCCATCCAGATGGACCTTGACAGGCTTGAAAGGTGGGCCTGTGTGCAAACCTCATGAAGCTCAACATGGCCAAGTGCAAGATCCTGCACATGGATCAGAGCAATCCCAAACACAAGTACAGGCTGGGCAGAGAATGGATTGAGAGCAGCCCTGAGGAGAAGGACTGCGGGGTGCTGGTTAATGAGAAGCTCAACGCGACATGGCAGTGTGCACCCGCAGCCCAGAAGGCAAACCATATCCTGGGCTGCATCACAGGAAGTGTGGCCAGCAGGTCGAGGGAGGGGATTCTGCCCTTTGAGACCTCACCTGGAGCACTGTGTCCAGCTCTGAAGCCCTCAGCACAGGAAAGACATGGATCTGTTGGAGCAGGTCCAGAGGAGGGCCAAAAAAATGATCCAAGGGATGGAACACCTCTCCTATGAGGAAAGGCTGAGGCAGAGTTGTTCAGCCTGTAGAAGATAAGGCTCCGGGGAGACCTTATAGCAGCCTTTCAGTACCTGAAGGGGGCCTATAGGAAAGATGGGGAAAATATTTTCAGCAGGGCTTGTTGTGATAGGACAAGGAATAATGGCTTTAAACTAAGAGAGAGTAGAGACTGAGAGGTACAGCAACCTTCCAGTACCTGAAGAGGGCTTACAAGAAAGCTGGAGAGGGTCTTTTTACAATGGCATGTAGTGATAGGAAGAGGTAATGGCTTTAAACTGAGAGAGGGTTGGTTTAGATTAGATATAAGGAAGATATTCTTTACTATGAGGGTGGTGAGGCACTGGAACAGGTTGCCCAGAGAAGTTGTGGATGTCCCCTCCCTGGAAGTGTTCAGGGCCAGGCTGGATGGGGCTCTGCCCAATCTGGTCTAGTGGAAGGTGTCACTGCCCCTGATAGAGGGATTGGAACTAGATGATTTATGGTGTACCTTCAGACACAAACTCTTCTATAGTTCTATGCTGCTATGAATGTAAGTACAGTCATAGCTTTCTATCATGCAGACACTTTTGCAGAATATGATGATTTTCTTAAAGAAGAAAACCCAGGAAGAAGACTTGGGGCCTTAACCTGCAAAGGAAACTGTGTATGTGCAGTGTGATCAGTATTTAAACGTAGAAACTGTCACAACAGTAACTTTAACCACGCAATAGACAAAATAGTAGTTGCCATGTGAAATGGAAAACCTGGACCTTCTCCCTCAATTCTCTTCCTGAAAGAACAAGTAGTTTTTGTTAATTCCTGTACTGATAGATAAACCAAATTATTTGATTTATGGGAATTCTACTTTACTTTCATTTGTTAACAGAAGTTGATTACTATTGTTGATGTTACTACAGATGAAAAATCAACATGTATCAAAATGAAACTATGCACAACTTGAAGCAGCAGCCTGGAAAGCTATTTTCTAGCAGAATAAAACTATTTTGTATACATGATTCCTTACAGAGGGGTAGGAAGGAAGAGAAACAAATAAAAGAGAAGGACGAAAGTCACTGTATCTCTGCAAATAATTAGGAACTTGAAGGGAGGAAGTTGGATAGCAAAAATAGAGGAATTTGACTAACATCTGCCCTCTTCATTGATGTTTAGCTTTTTGGATAGTTAATGGGAACTGAGTGATTTCTCTAGGTAATAAACTGGAATTTCTGAAATTTATTTAGTTTTCTCTTTTTTTTTTGTTCCTCTATCTTTCTTCCCTGAGTATTTTTTTATGTATCTCCAACTAGACAAAGTGCAACAGTTTGTAAAAGAGATTTTGTAAACAGAAAGCAATGATAAATTCATATATTTATTTTTATTTGTATTTAGGTGTGGATGCATTATTAAAGATTTTACTGATTCTGTGAATCATATTGATATTAAAGGTGTGAACTACGTATTTGCATATCTATATTGACCTATGGGAGTTGTGCAACCAGCTCTAAAACCTAGTGAAATATTTATATGTGTAACTCAAAATATTCACCTATGTAAGTCGCATCATTCTTACACCTAACACGCATCAGAATTCTTATCAACTTGCTCTTATCTGCTGCTTGTTTCAGGTAACTGCTTTAGTCCACAATTTCTGCATAAGGCC